TTTTGCACTTCCCTGCTCTGGCACAGATTGTTTCTAAACATAGGTTTTACACTCTCAAGGATCCATTACCTCTGGTGTCCAGACTCGAGGCCCTCTGACTGCTGTCCAGCTTCCATTTCTTGATCTTGAAGTAGGGACTGGCCCCTTCCAGACTAGCATGGCGCCGCAGTTTAGTGAAGAACTGCAGCACAGGCCCCTGGCTTCCTGCCGCATAAGGGGAACCCCCGCTCCTCACCAAGGCCCCTTCTCCAACACTAACACTGCTGCCTCGGCCCCGGGGCCCCGCTCCCATCATCTCGATCTGAGAGACGGAGGGAGAAACGCGTCAGAAAGAAAACCTGCCGTGACTTGTGGTGTGTGTGTGCGTGTGTGTGTAATCCCTTCTGACAGTGATGTCCCACACAGGCTTCCTTGTTTACCCATCAAACATCGCTGCTATTGGTCCTCCCTCGGGCTCCGTGACCCCATAATGTCCCTGTGGATGACTCCCTGGTTGACTGGCTCGAATAGCCGTTTGGTGTACTTTCTTGAGAAAATGCAGCACTCTACAAATGATTAACTCAACACAGTTCATTTTGACCTATGAACTGCATTTTTCCACAACACGAGCGCTAACAGGCGATTTGTATGCAGACTCACTTTTCTTGTTTTAATGACTGACAGCAGGAGATTCACCGTGTGGCCTACTTTTCTAAGACATTTCTTCAACAAAATTGTGACTAGTATTTATTACTTGATGTAATATATGTGACAGTAGTTGGAGGTAACTTACAGAGCTGGTTATTCGCCCTTTGGTGCCGAGAGCGATAGTGTTCTCACTGAAGCTGGTGTTCACCACTGAGTTCAGAGCATCTCCAGGGAGGGCACAGCTGGGATTGACACTCAGGCTGGTCAGCGCAGTTTGTGGTAGGGGGCAGAGCATCGGCTGTAGGATACAAAGACAAGGACATCTCTTTTACAGAGCTCTAATGTTTTTCCCACTTGTTCAAAATCGGTACTATAAATCTATTCCCATTTTTTTCCCATGTCTAAGTAAATATAAATATCAAGTTGCGATCCTGTCTCCAGCTGCCATCCTTACACAAATGTTCGAACACATAAATGTGAAATCAATGTGCTCAGCCTGTTGTAATGAGAGGGTCCTGATCCCTATGTTTGGCTACACGTGCGCCGACATTAGGGTTGATTCATCTTCTTGCCCCGTCCCGAGTGATTGATGTTCAAATTGACCCCAGTCAAGAATAACGATGCATTAGGGCTAATAGCAGGTTCGAGGCTGTCACCTGGAAGATGGAAAGTGCCGACTTAGCGACAGGACGAGTCGTCATGGTGATGCTGTTCTCGGCCGAATCGCACTCGTGGATGGTGACTATCTTGAGGGAGGGGGGAGGGATGTGGAGGTGTGTGAGCCGGGCGTTCTTCAGGTGGTGGAAGTCGCCCTCGGTCAGAGTGTACCTGAGGAGAACAACATAGAGTTAAATTAAAGCGGACATTTTATTCAAATTGTTAAAACATTAAAGCATGTTTACATTCTTTAATGTTCAAAAAGCTCTTTATTTTTCTCATACTGCCTGTGCTGCAGCACCTCTTTTCACCCTCTGTCTGAAACCAGGGCCCAGTCTGCTCTGATTTGTTTGGTGGCCGGCTCTGTTGTGATTGGTCAATTGCTATGAGATGGCCTACCCCTTACAATAAGTGCATTCAACCATTAAGACAAATCTCAAAAGTAAGAATCCTGCAGGTACATTTCCTACCTATAAGCCCAACCAGATGAAGTGCTACTGCATTAGCTTCACGTAAAGCCAAATCCTTTGTAAGTGCTACATACAGAACATTATTTTTTTAGCAAAGATGCAGTCGAACAGGTGAGTTTTCAGTCTGCGACGGAATGTGTGGAGACTCTCTGTCCTGATATCACTAGGAAGCTCGAATCCATCATTTTGGAGCCAGGATATCAACGACATACAATATGTTTGAGCGCTAGCCAATAGAAGCTCAAGTGTTACATAGTGATATCACTATGTACATTAGTTAACAAAGGAGTCCAATCAAGGCATTTCATGCACGCATTTGCATGCACAGGAAAGATAACCCCCATAAAAAGCACAATAGGGCCTTTTTAAAGCCTCTTAAGATTAGCCATAAGTTGCATGCACTCTCAATAAGTCTTAACTCATGAAGCTTATCCTTGCACAAGAGGCAAAAAGACACAGGGGGAATATCTGACTTCAGAACGATCAGAGCTAAACTGGATTTAGCATTTAGCAACACTGAATCCCTTTGAAGCATTTGCATATCATGCTCAGGGCTCTAAGAGAAAAGCAGGGCAGGGAAATAATGGGAAAGGGTGACAGTTCCTTGTGCCCGTAGCATACATAATGCACTCTGAATTCATTATTAACCCGTCCCTTAACCAGCATATAAGAGAGACGGAAACGGTTAAATGTGAAATTATTTGATCTCAGAAAGCAGTGGAGCTGGAGTGAATGGATTTTAAAGAAGGTTATACACTGATATAAAAATAGCAAATGTAGGCTTCTGTGTATGTTGGCTCTCTAACCTGCGGCCCTTCTCCTGGGCCTTCTTGCCATGATCGAAGAGCGCAGCCTCATTGAAGGAGACGCGACGGCCCATTGTTCCCGTGGAGAGGAAGCGCTCGGTCTCCTGGTCGTGAAAGCTGGCCATTGACATGCATTCGGACTCATCCACCCTGATGGTGATTTCTACCGGAGAACAAGGGGAAAAAGACAGGGGAGGTAGACGGTTAATTAAATAGGAACGTGCGTATAGGAAGATCGAGATGTCATTGTTAGTGTTCAAGACATTACTTAAAGTAAATGTGACTTTTATCAGCTCAACTACCGTAGTTCTCTAAGCCAGACCTAAATATCTCAACAGCATTCATGTTACCTAAAGGATGAAGCCTACTGACTGATGATCTCCTGACTTTCCCCAAGCTTCACCAGCAAGTCAACAATTTCAATCATTCAGTGAAATATTTGAACATATTTAAACAGTTCAAGGTTTCACTGGTCAAATTGACTTTGGTTTTAAAGCAAAGATAATCAGAGATCTCTGCTTTGTGCTTAGTTCAAGTTAGCAAACATGCTTAGGCTAATCTAAAATGCTAAACATTACTCATGCTAATGTTAGCATATTAGCAGTAAAGCCTCACAGATCTTCTACCATAGATGTTCACATTTTGTATGTGAACTTCGGACCACATAATAGAAGTTTTAATTGATATGTGACAGGATTTACAAGACTTATTTTCAGTCTGTCGTAAATGGGCGTTCCATGTGGAGATCAAGGGGTTCAGGTGTTAGGGTTAGTGTTGCATGCCATTCCTCATCACTTTCAACTGTGATATAAGGCATGATATCATACAGGAAAAACAATTGTAATATGTTCCATGTAAGCCCTTTACACTGACTATAAGTGAAGCGAAGCCTCTGATGTTCAGACACCTCTGTAGAGAGTGACTGGTAATATGACAAACTGCTGACTAAAATAAATGAAAGAAAAAAGCCTGACAAAAGCAGTTTGGTGCCAAATGGATACTTTCCTTTACTCAATCATTTTTATCTGAGATCTGAGTGCATCTACTGGTCCCAAAATGGGTTCCAGGAGCGGCACAGCTACTTAAACTCATTGGGTTGAGATCGCAACATTGTAATGCAATGGACGTTACACTTTGTGCTGACGAGATACAAATATCCCTGCTTCCATCAATCCAATCCCTCAATCTCCATTACTCCTCCCTCTCTCGGTTACTTGCCTTTTTTTTTTTTATCTGCTTCCTTATCCCTCCCCCCTCCCTTCCTTGTTTCCTCTTTGTCCTTTTTTCTCTTACCATGGGTGGGCTGAGACTCCTCCACGTAGGTGGTGTTGGTTTTCTCAGGGTCATCGCTGGCCCTGGGGCACACAGAAACATTCAGATCAATGCTGTGACATGATCACCACTGAAGTCTGGCTTTCATCTGTCCAACCCGACTGATGTGGGCAGCAGCCACATGTGGGGCCACAGTACAAAGCTTTGTGATCCGCTGCGTTGCTGTGGACATTTCTGTTCAATGATTGAAAATCCAGGCATAAGGACAATAAGTCTACATTTTCACCACGTTATTTTTCTAAACGGCTGGCTGTATAATCAATGAGGGCCTAAATCATTGATAGTAACTTGATAACCTCTTGAACTGATAATGCATGGTGCTGTATTGGATTCTAAAGTTCCATTCATCTTAAGTTGCAGAGAAAAAACACACATTAAAGGTCACATTGTTAAAAGGGATGAATAACGCTTCCTTCTTTAAGTATATCCACTCTTTAAACCTCCCTGTGTCAACTTCTTTGACTGCCGCAGACTCTCAATGGAAGAGTTTTTAATCCCGTACCCAGGAAGTAATTTACGAGGCATAAAAAAAGAAAGCTCTTTCCAGACATTTCATCCTATCTGATTTTATTTAGCAGAGCTATGTGTCTGTGCTTGTATTTGTGACTTGAGGGATTTCTCCGTCCACCTCGATCTCTGTTTCTTCTCGTCTCTCATTTCCTCTGTTGCTTCCTCATACTGTGTGTGTGTTCTCTCTGTGCACACACCTGGTTCGGTGGAGATGTGGGATTAATCACCGCCGATGGCTGCTATGAAATCTCATTACACTCATCATTTGTACCGGTCTGCCCGATTCGCCTTTTCCCTGCTCAGCCTCTGTGCTATCGCTTTATCTGCATCTAGTTGGTGTGCACTCATATATTCAAGTGTACTTGATGATGCGTGCTGCTGTAGTGAGGGACAAAGCATCTGGAGGGTAGCTATGTTACTGCTGAATAAACACAGATGAATCACAAATAGATGGGCATGAATATTGAATGTATTTCCAGCAAGGTGTTTTTACAACAGCCCCACAGAGGGTCCTGACACTCAGCCGAGTTGCTTCATGCACTAGATGCAGCCTGTTGTCCTGGTTTAACAGCATCTCTAACTATATAGGGTTGCATTATCTGCTCTACCACTTACTGCAAAACAGCTCGAGATGATTTAATCTGTTTCGTGGATCACTGCTTAATGGAATCGTCCTGAAGATGTGTTCGGGATTCACCATATGGAGCAAAGTGGACAGGAAGTAGTTAGCTTCATTTGAAACTGAATGAGCCTGATCTATTATGCAGGTAAACACATTCAACATAAGTGCCATGCTCTCTATAAATAGTAAATGCATATGAGCACAGGAAGAGCAGTCTCTGTTGGTCAACTGTGTGTGTGTGTGTGTGTGTGTGTGTGTGTGTGTGTGTGTGTGTGTGTGTGCAGCACTGTAAAAAAGCACCACCTGTACATCCACAAAGGCGGCCTTGTTAAGCAAAGCAGGAATGGTGTGGCTATCTTTATTAGAATGTGAAGCACTTTTTTTTAATAAGTCCACTGCTCATTGGTCTTCACTGTTGCTTAGCTTTGATCCTATACTTCTTAACTCTTCACAAGTCACTCTAGTTAAGTGAAGTGCTGGAATCCTGAATGTTATGGATGTTTTTTTGCATCGTACCTGGCACAGAATTGGCCTCCTCTGCGGCAGGTGATGAGGAGGACAGAGATGAAGATCAACGTTCCTACCAGGAGGATGGACAGGATCACCAGGAGGAGCACGTAGCCATCCTGCTGCTCCTCAGCCTCAAATGGGATCTCCTGAAATACACAGAGGAGGGCAAAATGGATAGTTAGATTATTAGTAACATCTATTCCTTTCCTATTATCAATAGTCCGCAGTGAAAAGGTCTATATATATATATATATATATGTTACTTTATTGTACTGTACCGACGGACCTGCTAACTGGTATAGTTGACTCATTACAGTCGTAGGCAGTGAAAGAGAGAGGTAGGTGATGACCTGAGCTGAATGTGTACATTAAATGCGCTGGTTCAAAAGGGACAACCAAACACTTCCCACATAAGCACTCTACCTTCTGAAGCTTTTCGCTGATGCTTACTGCAGCAACTCTCAGTTGTCAAAGGATTATTTTCCAAAAAAAGTCTAAAAATGTGACTGCCTCTCAACACAGTGTTTACGGAAAGAGTGGAGCAAAAACATTTTACATTTAACATCCTTTGTGTATTTCCGATGTGTGTACTAGATATAACTTGCTCTCTTTTTAGAAAATAAAAAAACACAATACCAGATAAACAAGCTCTGAATATGCCATTCCTATCGCGACATAGGAAGTGCAGCCAAGGCTTAACGACATCACTGTGCAGCTGTTTTACCTTCCCAGTCACACGGTGCAGCTTAAAGGATTGATTTAGCACCACTGGCTGGTTGGCCTGCATAAAGTAAATCTATAAATGCAACAGTGAAATGAATCATTAAAGGCCAATGCTATTAACCCGTCTACAGTGTACCTGAGCTATGGCAAAGCCCTCCCAGGGAGGATAGCAGCTTAGTGAATTAACCACCCAGGGCGCACCGGTAGAGGCTCTATCTTATCTATAGTTACGATTTACAGATAGTTTTTCAAGCATGAACACGTTTCAACAGAGGAGGATATGTTGAAAGCCCTCCCTCTTTGTTCATTGGAAAAAACGTTGTACAATCCATCATGTCAGCTCACACAAAAGCAGATGGAAAGACATTTCTGATGAACCCATGATTTTCACTACCTAAATAGGATTTTATAAAAAGGACATTTTTGTCAATATCATTCGGTAGGTAGCATTGTGCCTCCATCTGTACATGTACATAACATTGAGCCCAAGGTAACATGATTTATGAAGATTTAAATCAGTGAATGATAAATAAAAAGGTGAAATGAATTGTATGTATGATGAATGAAAAGTTACACACAAAACATTTCTCTCTGTCGACTCCGTAATCTTTTTTATTATTTTATTTAGCAGGGTCCACATTTTTAATTCCGCAATTTTATTTAGTGCAGAGTTTATTTGTTTATTAATAAATTGTCCTTTTGATGTATTCATTTCAACACTTTACAGTTGAATATTCCTTATTTATTTAATTTTAAAAAGCAAAATGTTTTTCCCAAGTTCCTTGATGCCCATGTATACATGCCCATGTATGCTACAGAACAGGTATTTGAATGGTTTAGTTGGTCATGAGGCGTGTGGTGCAGTGGGTTGAACGTTGGTGTTCGGATCAGGGGGTCACTGGTTCAAACCCCACTGCAGTCAGCATGTCGTTGTGTCCCTGGGCAAGACACTTCAGCCCAAATTGCTCCTGTGGGGATTGCCCACAGTATTATTGAGTATGTAAGTCGCTTTGGATAAAAGAATCTAACAAGTGACATGACATGTCATGAGTTGGAGGGTAGAGAACAACAGCAGGCCTTGCCCTTTTATTGGAGTAAACAATGTAATGTCAAGAAAACAGTCTTTAATTATCATCACGATGACCCTTTAGCGACACCATAGATGTTATAGTGTTATTCTGAGGAAGTACAGCAAGTGTTAATGATCTCTACATTCTGAAGTCACATTTTAAAATTTGTCTGCGAGGGGAAATTAAATAAAATTATGAATTATGTCAGGTCCAGGTCAGGATGTTCTCCATTAGCCAGTCAATTGGCCGGAAGAGAATATGAGGGGAAAGTATGGTTCTGGTGGTGAGCTGGACACAACACACACAAACAGGAAGTTAAAGAATAAGCCAGTGGCGAAAGGCAGACTTACTGTGGAGTTTTCTGGTAGGATGTTCCAGAAGGTAGACTCATTGCTCATGGTCCAGGCCAACTAGAGAGTCCCCCTGAGAGATAACAGACACACACAAACACACAGAGGAAATGACTGTTACCGGAGCTGTTTATCAAAACACAAAGTCAACCACAAGAGACACTGCGATTCATCTGTGATAATAAATCCACACATTCACATGTCAACGTAAAGCCAAACCTCTGTGAATGTATAGGATAAAGAATGCCTTCCATTATTGATGCCTGGTGTGTGGTAACACACTGTATGAAGTGATTGAAGATGCTCTTTGCTGCAGAAAAATCCTGTTGCATCTAACAGCCATGAAAGACTGCAAGACGAATCAGAAACAAAACGTATGTATGTACGTACGGCGTGTGTTGTGCGCATGCTTTGAATCCCACAGAATATACATATAAATCGTAGCATCTCAGCTGCAAATCATCACCCATGTAATTCCATATCAGCCTGAAGACTCTCCATCTGCCTCCCACACACACAGAGAAACACAGAACAGAGAGAAACAGCAGCTCTTATTAAACACTAGCTCCAGCAGTTCCACTAGCGCTGCTGCTGCTATGCGTTTGCTTTTACAGATCATGGCCATTAATACAGCTATTGCTGCAGCAAACGCCCACATACACACACCCTGGTTAGATCTACTCACCCAGCAGGGTAGTAGATACATGCCAGCAGCACTCAGCGCTCCTTGCTTGCCTGCCAGATACTGCAGCACTCAACTTCAGCACCACAACCTGTAAGCTATTGCCGAGCTGTTTGTGGAAAGCCTGTCTAACTCCCTGCATCTAGCGTCCAAGCATGAAAACAGTTACTGGAAACACATCAGGCTGTGACCAGAATGCTTTCCCTTGCAGTACTGTACCACATCCTGCTCTTTTACCAGCCCAGTGTCTTACCCTGATGGAGGGCAGTGCGCAGCAGCAGCTCTGGATGTGTGTGTCAGGAGTCTCTTCCTCAGCTCCCTTGCTGCATCCTCAGTCACCTCAGCCCAAGCAGCACGACTGAGCCTGAGCAGCAGTGATCCCCTTCAGGGCTGGCCCACTGGCCCCGGAGCAACAGGACGGCAAAGCTTCATGGCTGATAACAAACATACGGCAGAACGATTGGTTAATTATTCAGTTTGTGTGGATAGGTTTGCATAAGAGCTTGCATTCAACAAATGCACTACACAGATCTCTGACAGGCTACTAGTTGAATAGTGATGATCATGGAAATACTGTTTTTCATTCAAGAGAGAACATTTTTCTTTGAAGAATTCCTTCAACATTTGGAAAACCAAAAATACTTCACTGTATCATTATAATGCAATAATATAGCTGATAACAAGTTAGAGATGCCTAACAGTCTTTTACCATTATTCAGTGTTGTAAAGCTTTAGGGAATATAGGAAGAAATGTGTAAGTATGAAAATATAGTCTTGTACTTTTTAAACATTTCTTACTTCCATGCAATCCCTGAAGATTTCTATATTGATGGTTGGCTGAGCAGATGGTAATATCCCTTCATGCTTCACAACATTTCCGTATATCTATGCCAGCTGCATGACTATACTGGGTATCGTTTTCGCTTTGAGTAGCCTTTTATATTTCGTCCCACTCCCATCATACCCAAAGTACTCCCTGGAACAGAATATGAGTGCTATGGTAATTTGAGACCTTGTAATAACCTGTTTAAAATGAGAAATGCTGCACAAATAAACCATGCCGTTTCTTATTTCTCGGTAGTCGATACTGCAATGTGTTTTCCTCCCGGAACAAATAATGAGCTTCGCCTCTGGCAGCTGTTTCCTCATGGAGGTTTGAGTGATAAAATCTACTGCGAGAAGACAACATCTCATCACATTACGAGATGAAATGGAGCCGATAGTAAAGTTTAAAAACGGATGAAAAGCAGGTAGCCTACACTCCCAGCTGCGCAGTGAGGTTAATAAAAATGCCATCTTGATATTTCACAGGCGCCTATGATTTCCATCAGTCCGGTGACACCGACAGAGGAGGTAGCACACGGTTTGAATTGGCTGCACAAACACACACACGAGCAGGCATGAAGCAGGGGAAGCACTCACCTAAACAACCGACCGGGTCCATACAGGGGTGGAGGGCCAAAGCCAATAACGCGGAACTCTTCTGTGGATATTTTAATGTGGATTTTAAAGCTAAAAGTATTTATGAATGAAACCCCACTGCTTAAGACACACCCACCACCCAGTCAGAGGAGCACCACGTGACGCAAGGAGAGGAGTAGAGCCTTGATGAAGGGCTTCTCCAAATTAGCCTCATGCTCAGTCAGTCATACACAGACAGGGTTGCTGGTTCGGGGGCGTAAGGGTGTCTCACGAATGTAAACTATGAGTACAATTATTTTATTATTTGTGTATTTTACAGTCACTCTTGCAGAAGTGGGAAACATAGTAAAGCAGTTCATACAGTGTCTATCTGTATGTAGGTTTATTTTATTTATTTTTTAACGCCATAAAAGTTTTCTCTCGTCCATGCAGTGGCATACAAAAGAGAAACAATAACTTGTTCCAATATCAAAGTATTAGATCACTATCTGTTGCCTATCTTGTATAATAACACGTGGGGTTAGCGCCATCTCCTGGTGTAAATTGTGCACTAGCTTATTAAACGAAGAAACAGTAAATGTGGTAAGAGAAGTTTGGCCAAATACATTACCCCTCCCAATGTTTACAGACGACGGTCTTCTCCAAATATTGGTTACTAAACGTTTTTCGATGTAAACCAGTCTATGATGTAAACCAAGAAATTATTGAAACCGAAACTGTTTTGTGTTTGTTCTACTCTCTGCAGTTCCTGAAGCCTAGTTTATCTAGAGAATACAACAGTACTTACTTGTTTTTAATATGCTGCTAACCATATCATGAATGGCCGTCTAAACTCGACTAGCTTCATACTATTGCTAAACTCACAAACTCATACAAAATAACTAACCTCAGCCTGACCTTTCAAAGACTTCACTACCCTGCATCCTTTGCGCACACCGCAAAGCCTTATGGGAAGGTTAAGAACGTCCTTGTCCTACCAAGCTCACACCGACTGGCTTCACGCAAGAGGATCTCTGTCATTCAGTTGAACTTGATTAAAATCCTGTTTTCAGACATGATGGCAGCACGAATTCTCCGCCGGGCTCTCCCCGTGGTGAGGCAGGCTCGCTCCTACGCCGATGTGGTTTCCACTGGCCCGCAGATGTCCTTCACTTTTGCCACCCCGACAAAGGTAACAGCGAGGTTCCACAGGCCCTGCTAGCTACACGGCTAACTTAGTTTCACGTTGAATTGCTCCACAGTAACGTGCGCCTCTCAGTCAATAGGCAGTGTTGTAATAATGTGTAGGGTTGTAATCATTGTTAGTATGCATGGTGTACTTCGTGTGGCATGCATGCAGACAACAGGAGCGTGCACTGTTGGTAGAGGATTTAGCATAGCTCGCTAATGATAGCATACATAGCTGTCATTCACAGTCTTTGACCAGCAGTGTGACAAAGTAACGTTATACTTTGCGAAAAGGATACCACGCGTTTCTATAAGCTAACGTGGGATATATGTCTTTATGTTTGTCATTTTATTGTCTTAACTTTATATGACATCCATTGTGAAACCACCACTCAGCAAGAGAGGTAAATGCTGTCTAACCTTGAGATGCATTTCACATTTCTGAATTCAATCCACTGTTCCTGCTGTTTTACACATGGTTTCATGTCTAGCTTTCATTCTGCTGCGGGTCTAATTCATTCATTCCATAAAAAAAAAAACGTTTAATCCTTCAAAATGTATGCATAATAATGTTGCATTAAAATGACTATGGAAGTATCATATTACAATTGCTATTGATATGCTCTGTTCCATTTCTAATTCTGCAGTTTCCAGTCTGACAGCTGCATATTTGATCAGACACTGATTTCAACCGTTGCAGTGAACTCTATAAATGAATTAATGTCTCATCCTCTGTCTCCACTCTACAGGTGTTTTTCAAAGAAGCCAGTGTGAAACAGGTCGACGTGCCCACACTCAACGGTGTGTTCGGTATCCTTCCTGCCCACGTACCCACCCTGCAGGTGCTCCGGCCCGGCGTTGTCACAATCTTCAATGATGACGGTTCTGCTACCAAATACTTCGGTAAGATTTTACTTTCCAGCACCCAAAGAGTAAGGTCAGTCCTTAACCTAATTTCTCATCTCCTGCTGGTAACATTTCTGTATGTCTCTAAACACTGACCTCTATGTGTAGGAAAACAGCAAGCAACGATGCTTTTGTTTTTTTACACTTAACCAAAAAGTAAATGCAAGCATAAATATCTATTGGATGCTTACAGTAGTAGATGTATGTACGCTTGATTATGTTTACCTCTATGACTCTTGGCACTAGTTTTTTTAATTGTTTAAGTCATTAAAGGTCTAAATGATGTCAGTCATACTCAAGAGAAGCTTGTGTACTACTACTTGAACACCAAACCCCACAACTATCAGACTAGACCACACATTTAGAAATACAAATGTTTATTAATTATCTGTCTGAAAAGTGGAAACATAAGTGGTTTTCACTGTATTCAAAGCTAAGTTACTTGCAGCTGATTCTGATAGTAAATAACTCACCTGGATATGACGATGATATTTCTGTGTTTCAGACTCATGGATGCTGTTTTTAGGAAATGCTAACAAAAAAATAAAATGTATCTTTATTAAAATCTTGGGTTCTATATGCGCCAAAGGTTAGATTATAGAAACCCTTGAGGAGAAAATACAATGTGGAACTGAAGCAAGCTGGAGAATTAGGCAGGATTGGTTTTAAAAACACTGAAGATGACTATGTTGGCATGTGTAGTAACACTGGTGTGTGTCTGTGTGTTCTCAGTGAGCAGTGGGTCAATAACAGTCAACGCTGATTCTTCAGTGCAACTGCTTGCGGAGGAGGCTGCTACTTTGGACCAGCTGGACATTGATGTGAGTATAATGTCAACCCCATGTTACGCCCAGACCTAGGGGAACCTAGACGCAGCATAAAATGCACTCTCCCCACTTTTCCCACTCCCAAGAACACGGAAGCCAAAACAGAGAAAGCGTTTGGTAAATTGATTTACCCATCCGAAGATTTAATCCGAGTGATGTTATTTTTTCTTTTCTGTCCAGGCACATTCCGGACATTCACCGCCAACGCGCGTCGTATCGAGTCCAATGTTTATTTCGTGTCGATAACACCGTTTGTAACACACAACGAACAAATTAAAAATAAACATTTTTTACAGTCATTTCGAATTCCTTATTTCTATAAAAAACAATAGATTTGCACAAGTGGACGAAGAAAACTCGTTCAACCTTAGCTGCCCTTAGCTATTCTTGGCACTTAGACCTATAGGTACAAGTTTGCATGGGTAGGCATGAGTGCGTACTGAATTCACGTCCTTGATATAAGGAATTAATTACGTAGTTGATTTCATAGAGATTAGTAGTACTGAGACCAGCAAAATAATTACTACAAGTACCAGAAGAAGTCTAGACGTCATTTCACCGTCCGGTTTGTTCGACTGGGCAGTGTCGTTAAGTTCACACCATTAGTACTACTTGACTGTCGGTAATACAACGGTATGAGCACGTACAAACACCAGCAGCGGAGTGTCGTCACGTACATAAGACACTTCAGTTACACACAACATTAGTACTAATTGAGTGACTGAAGTCTATACTCCTTCCTACCGCAAATTCTATCGGTGGACACACCGGCCGTGTAGACCTCAATAGTAATTACTCTACTCAGTCCTATAAAACAAAGACTTTCATCTTAGGGACTACTCAGATCCTCTATGTGGGTTCATAAAGTCCAACGCTAAATAGACAACACCACTTAAATTTTAGTTTGTTTATTAAGTTGTTATATTTGTACCACTACGAAACGATAATTGAAATGATAACGGTACAGAATTAGAACACAGAACGGCTTTTAGACATACGAAAGAATACACTGTACTATACACTGTTTACACTAGCAACAGACGAAACCTATATTAATTTCAACAACAATTATAATAATACCTTACTCAATAGACCATTTACAAACACTAAAATTCTACTTATGACATACTATGTCAAGTCATTGATTTATTAACTATACCTTTAATTCAGGTTTTACTATAGATTTAAACGTAAACCTTATAACGGTTCATATGTACTACCCGGCATTTATTGTATTCCCGACTGAAATAAACTCAACCCACCCCTAGGTTTCTACTAACTACGTTACTCGTCGTTTACCCCACTTATGCACACTACAAGTGTTCCGGTATTTAGTATACAAAAAAGCGTCACTTTATTGGTCTTGCTCCAGGTGGTGAAAAAGCCTTCCCGGTTTGTACTAATTCACTACTGGTTGTATTACGAATCACCTACGTACCTAATGTTGGAAACCTAACGACCCTGACAGTCCAACAAACCGGTGACAGCTGACCATGACGTCTGATATCTTCTTCGTACTTGAGTAATTATCGAGTCGTCAGTCTTACTAAAACTCTCAAAATCAACTACCGTAATTAATCCATAACAAGGACGTAATTCAGTACGTACTCTATGATAATTAGGAACGATGTAATGACTATCAAGTACTTACATGATGTGGTTTACTTAAGTACGAAAAAAGTACGTAGCATTTCAGTACGTTACTAAGTACACTAGTACATGGGAATGGTATTTCACAATGGTACAGTACAGGAAACTTGTACTCAAAGGGGGTCCAATTTGGCTACGATCTGGTATTAGCTTTTTATTTCGAGTAGTGCCGCTTATTTAACTTCCATACGTTCTATATTTTTTTGTAAACAACTTATACACTAAATTCAATCACTTAAAACAATTAATTTATCTAAGCTTCATATCATCGTTAGACATCTTAAACCTTTTACTTTCCACAACCCATTAAATTACGAAGTACCCGATTACTTACCTTATTTAGGAAATCATATTTGATACAATACTACGAGTTCTTCTATAAATATAATTAGTATACCAGTATGACGGGCAATATTCACTCAACGCACGAAATCCATATGGTACCCACTCATTTCACCACAATGCTGGGACCAAGCATGTTCCAGTAAACACATAACCCGTCACAACAAGGGAGGAGGACACAGACACTCACAGCACACTCACACACCTTCAT